TTTTATTATATATAAAATTGAGGCACTCAGTTTACACATCTTGAATAACTTGTAAATTATGTGTTGTATGTAACAATGCATAATTTAAAATGTGCAAATTCAGTACCTATCATCCTGTGTAAAAATTATTCTTTCTAAAATTATTACTCTATAATAGGAAAAGCTATTATATAATACAAGCAATTTATATACACATATAAAACATGTATATGTATATATGTGTGTATACTTGTATTATAACTTTATCTATTATGATTTAATAATTTAAAAAAAAACAATATAAAATAAATGTTTAGACATATGATAATAATATCTCTCTAATGGCTCTAACATTTCCTGCCAAAAATTATATATAGATAAATTTTCATAATATATCAAAAATATACTGCAAACCTGTTGTTAGCGCGGGTGTCCACTCTTGCTCACCAGTGGCACCCCATAAGAGGGTCAGACTCTTGTTCATCATAGTGGAAGAAGGATTTACAGCTTTATCTCCATTAATTGTAGAAGAATTAGACCGCAGTTTTCCTTTTGTACCTATAAAAACATGAATTTTATTATCTTTTTATATCTTATATTTTTTTAAAGATATCTTCGTTTCAATTTAATATGATATTAAATACTAACAATCTTGAAAGCCTATTTGGGATGCTGATCTTGAAATTTGATTTAAATTGGCCCCAATCTCCATTGGGGATCCACTTATGGTTGATGGAGTAGTTTCACTTTGTGACTCTGAACATGTTTGGGTTGGAACAGCTTGATAATGATGTTGTTGTATTAGTACTCCAGTTGGTCCTGAAATTATATCAATTTAATCTTAATTAATTTTCCAAATCTATGAAATTGTAATCAATTATGATGAACTTATATAAACTGATTGAACTTATATAAACAACATTTATCTTTTATGATCAAAGCAAATGAGAAATTAATAATAAATTTATCAAGATATATAAGTCGTATCGTATCGATATATCGATATAAAACAAAATTATTTACCTTTTGGAAATATATGAGTCCATCTTCGTCTATTGCTGGTAAGTTTAATGGTAACGTGTGATGGATCAAAAGGATTGATTAGTGCTCTAGTAGGCCTGAGTATATTTGTTGGTTGAGAAATTGAATTTGTTGGGCTACCAGCGCTACCAACAACAGGTCTAAAGGGCGGAGATATCTCTGAATCAGTTAAATCATTTTTGACTGGTGTCCTGGATGCACCTAATGGAGTTACCGCAGTTATTTAATAAAATTGTAGAAATAGTTTTAGTAGTGAAAACATTATATAAAATAAATAAATAGATAAATATATATATATATATATATATATATATATATATATATATGTGTGTGTGTGTGTGTGTAGATAGATAAATAGATAAATAGATAGATAATGTATGTATTTTTACCAGTTTTTTCTTCATTAGATTCATTATTATCATCGTCTGTTTTATGTGGTATTGTTATAGCTGCACTCCGTAATGCAACAACCGGTGGTGAATGCGTCTCAGGTGGAGGATGATGTATATCGGGATCTGACATCTTACGTTTCAAAAATTTTAACAAGTGGCCATTGTTGTGTGTTTCTAGACACGCCACACTCGTCTTTTTCGTTCTTGTATTTATCCTTTGTACACTACAAACAAATAATTAAAAAAAAAATATATATATATAATAAATAAATTTGATAAAATTTAATAATAAAATAATAAAAGATTACAAAATTGACATATGTAGAATTTTATTATATATATATTTCATATATATATTTCTTATTATATTTTATTAATATATTTCTCTTTTTATTTTAAATTATATAATTTATGTTTTTTTAGAAGTTTTGTCTTTTTATATTATGAATGTTTCCAAAAAAATGTATAAAACTTTATCACAAAAAAAAAAACATTCAGTTTTATTCGATATAAGAGAATATAGGGCTAAAAGAAAAACATTTATTATACTATTAATTTACCTTGAAGTAGCAACAATTGGCGATTGGAACACTTGTGCGTCATAAGCATCGTAATCGAATAAAGTATTATGCAGACATTCTCTTGGATCTTCTTGCAAAAGTCTGGCTTTGCAGTGCAATTTTTCATTATCCGGATGCTTTGATACTCTTTGTGGCAGTTTTATTCGTGGTATAAATGTAGAATGAGGTATCTTCTTGTTTGTAGAATAGAAACTAAGATTTATCCAATGAGGCATACTATAGTCATCTGGTGCATTTGTAGAAGAATCTTTATTATGAAACTGAAATCAAATATTTTGTCTATCATCTTAACATATGATTAATTTATATATATATTTGTATATTTACCTTTAATAGGGGAACTGCATGTAGCGGTTGCTCCCCTACACACACCAAATCACTGCCTACACCATTATCAATGATTCTTTGCTTTGTTACATTTGTCAACTCTCTATCAACTTCAAAAACTCCAACTCCAGGTGTAATTACTACAGATAATTGACCAGTTCTATCAAAACTACGATCCAAATAGTGTTTTTCAAAAACTGTAATGATAACAAGTTAAATATAATAAATAAATTATAATTAATTTTTCATCATTCCTTATTTATATGTGCACTACTCACCATTCAGAGACATATTTAACACTTCCAGAAAATTGCCTTGTGCGGCAGTGGAATTTATTGCCCTAGGCATATTAATATCTGGCTTCTGGTGATATTCCAAAACAATCTTTTGATAGTCAGTGAATAGTTTACGCAATTGTACTAGAACATTACTCCAATCCTCAAATCTTTCATTTTGTACCGCAACTCTATAAAAATCTTCATAGAATCTTCCTCTGTAATCATGTTGCAAACACTCTCTCATATGATTTGGAAATTCCTCCAAACTAGTTGCATTATAAAAAGTTCTTGAAAAGAGTACAATTGTAACTTCATGATTGCTGCCATTCTTTTTCCATTTTTGGAATAAATCTGCCAAGAATCCATTTACTGCTTTCTCAAAGTAAAGATCCCCATGTATATCAAAATCCCACATTTCAGAACTCATTTGAATAAACAAGTATACCATACTTGTAGAAGATCGAAATATTACCTGAAAATCATATTTGCTTTTATAACAGAGTTTAAAGGTTAATATAGTGAGTATTACACAATTTTGGACATACTTTAGTATCATCTGTTATAACGCCACAAGCAACCCGATCACCCTGAGACCACATTTCATGTACTTGGCATCGTATACTACTGCCACAGAACTCTATTTTCTTATTGACATAAACACATGTATTTACCTAGAATAAATATGAAAAATTCATATATATACTGCACATTTATATAAATACATCAAAGATATCGATCGCAAATGTACAACAAAATGTGCAATATGTACCAAACTGTTTTTCAGACGCCACATCTCACTGCGTCCCATGTACTGATCTTTAAAGGTCAATTCTACAGAATCTAGAGCTACATCGTCCGGATTTACTATGTTCATATATACATCGGTAAACGTTCTTAATTGGAACATTGTTGCTACGTTATTCTCCACACTAATAGTCTCGCGTCCTTGCAGATCCTCTTTGAAGGAGGTAACTTGCAACAGCAGGCGACTGAACTCATCATCAGGATGATAAATCTCGACGACATCGCCGGTTTTTATACCAGGATAGTCCTTCGGGTTGATTACCAAATCTTCTCCACTAAAATTTTTCTGATGTACTATTAGCTTGAAGAGCTTCATACTTCATTCGACATCCTGACCCATAGATCTAAGTTAAAAGTTTTCCATTACAACTGGATTATGACGTCAAAAGCGAGAAATACGTATAGATATTTCGTAATCACGTATAGATATTTTTCTTGCAAACTAAATTATTTTCTTGCAATATCACCTCTTGTATATGTATGTATGTGTGTAAATATTCAAATCACAGACTTTTATATATTATATCTAACTAGATTGTTAACACAGCGATGTTGTCGATGAAGCTAGGGCAGCCATTTACAATTTAGACAGAATTATATAGGGTTAGATTAGGGTTAAGGTTAGGCTGCAGTTTGACATTTCTGCTTAATTTGGTTAGGATGCAATTTGATATTTTTTTTATATATATAAAATATAGTATTTAATGTGCCATCAACCGATTTTATTTTTTATCGTCTTTTGACACCTTCTGTTTTATAAAGCTTATATTTTTTCCTTCTTATTTGTAACAAACCCATACAACTTTCACTCCCTTTATTTTGACATTTCTGAGGTTTGGTTAGATTAGGATGCAATCTGACATTTCCGGTGCAGTGACAGACGTCAATTCGAATCTTGGCTTTCTTTATCCCGATTATCAAACGTATAAAAATTTGTAACATCAAATAAATTGCACTTTGTGTTTAAAGGAAAAAAGCGAAAGGATAAAAAACGATGACGATTTTTATTCTACGCATATGGTAAATTAAAATTAAGAGGAAATTTTGAAACAAGGACATAGATAGCTTATTGCATTTTGCTATTTATATTATATCCTTATCGGTACTTTAACAAAGAGAAATATATACAATAATATATAAACATAATATTAATTATTGACTTAATATTCTCTTAGTTATGCTCTATGAATAAATGCACTTTCTTTCACATAATCTCTTATATGTTGAGAGCAACTTCTAATTATACTTATTGTTGTTCATTTATATATTATTTTTGAATTATTACTTATATAAACATTTTATTGTTAACAAAAATTTTTATGTAATAATTTTGAGAACATTTATTTATTTTTCTTTCACAAAAATGTGATGTACTTGTATTTTATACAATTGGGCATATTTACTAATGTTATAAATTGATACTTTATTCTATCATTAAATGTATAATAATTTTTATTAAAACATTCTTTTACGGATGTTTACATATAAATGTCTTAGATAATATATATATTTTTTGTATATATTTCTTGTGGACTGATATAATATAAATCCATCTAAAATCATTTTATTTTACAGAATGCTGTGCAAAGGACAACTCGTTTAACGAAAAATTCCGTTTGTCTTTATTAAAACTTTCACACGTTGTTTTTTTTATATGTATATACATATGTATTTCCTCGCTAATGAAGATTTTTCGTTTCAAGAAAAAGTTTTTTTGGCAAAACTCTTCTTTTATTTTGTAAGTTTGGAGCAATTCTCTGACAGTATTAAAACTTTAATGCTAAATATTATTTGCTCTTATTCTCATCTTATTTGTTGTTATTGTCATCTCTCCTTTATTTTCGGAAAAACTGCTGCAATGATTTATGGCACAATATCTGGTGTTATAAGTTAAATGAGTCTGCTAATTAACAGAAAGCGGCCAATTCTATACATTTTTTTGTTAGTGAGGAAATACTATGTATGTATGAATGTGTGTGTATATGTATAGTTTACATGATCGAGTATTAAAATTGTTGGCATAATATACCATTACATTATAAATATATTCAATATATTTATCAATATTATCAATCTATGCAGAGTAAACAAGAATAATGAATATAAGATGCAGTTGCTGTATGTAAAATTGATCGTCGGAAGGAATAAAGATTTGCTCTATCAAGTAATATAATCACACACTTGTTGTTGATAAGGTTTTGGGATTGGATGGCACTAACAAATCCATGTAAAACTTTTAATTGGATATGCTCCTTTTTATGGAGCAACTTCTAATCTTCTTATTTCTTTGGAAATATCTGTTTTTCGTGCCACTTTGTCAAGTATCTCCTTATCAGGATTTTTCAAAGCACCAGTTTTGATTTTTTCCTCTAACACTTCAATTTCTCTAATCTTTTTGCGCAAATTCTTTAATCTTTTTTGAGGATCGGTTGTCGTTTTTTGTGTAATTTTTGAATTGTCCTTAATTATATTGTTTGTCGTAATTTGTTTTGCAGTGGATAATGGCTTGTCATTATCATGAGTTGAGACTTCTTTGTGAAATTCGGGCTCTGAGATCGATAGTTTGGACAATCCTTCAGCAACTGGTTCAACCGCTTTAGACTTGTTTTTCTTTTTCTTCTTTTTGGATCCCTCTTGCGTTTTCGCCTGCGTACCAGGTATTATTTTGTTTTTCCCGGCTAGAGCTTCCAACTTGGCTTTGTGCTCGGCTATAAATTCTGGGCTAGCACCCACTGGATATAAAGGTTTCTTCACCAATTGCTTTCCTTTGCTCTCATATCTATATAAAAAATTATATATATTTATATATGATAAGAAAAAAATATAACAAATAAAAATACTGAGAGAAACATTATGAAACATACAATGGAACTTCTTCTTGAGGAATATATCCATCTTTCACACGTCGTTGTTTACGCCATGTGCCATCAGGTCGTTGACTTGCTGGGATAAATGTGCCTAAAAATAATAATCGTAATATATTATAAGAATATCGTAAGGATACTTGGACAAAATGTTTAATTAATCCTAAACTCGAAATGTAATTGTAATTTATAATTGCGTGTAAAAATACGTACAGTGCAGTGAATAAAAAAAAGCCTCCTAGAACTAAATACATTCGCAAGTCGCGAAGAGTTTAAAACTGATGTGAAAATTATACAACGCGCGTAAAGAAGAACAATCTATTATTACACAAAACTATTCACTTTACGCTTGTTTACATGTCCGAGGTTAGAACCGGTGCGTAATCGACAAGGTGTAAGTCCGTAAATCCGATCGCGATGCAGTAAATAAATAATCGTTACCAGTTTCATCCTTGATGTAAGTTGACGCCATCGTTGTGTCACCCGAGAGCATCCGTGAAAAAAATAAATAAATGTAAAAAATACACAACTATCCGCGTGCCATTGCGCGATTATTATGTACCGCACGGAGTACCGAATCTCCAATAATTCGTGGTGTGGGTGCGTGTATATGTGTGTTGTTGATAGCGGTCAACGTACTTTGTACACCACTGACAGATGTCGCCGCGGGTTGAACGTCAGCGTGTTGTGTCAGATGTATTTCCTAGTTATTACTTTTAACGTCGACAGATGTCGCTAGGAGTTTAATTGGAAAACGCGATCTGCGCGAGTATCCAATCATCCTGCTTCAAAAACGGACGAATTGTTTTATTAATTACGTGGGATATTGCAGAGATCGAATATCGATGCGCTTCTTTCCATTTGCAAATTACTAAAGGTACAGATCGATATTTCCTTTGACGCGAATTTTACGAACTCTAACTTTTTGCACTTTATATATACTTTATATATAGCAGTTTTGATAAATTTCCTTCAAGGTATTCAAAGAGAAATGTATTCTTCTCTTGCACGGAAATCGTAGGAAAATATAGTTTAATGCTAATATAGAAATTCTTTAAAATACTTGTTTTTTATTTTTAAAAATGTCATTTTATTACATATGTCGTAATATTATTAATTAAAAAACGTATGGTGCTTTATAAAATTTATATGTATAACAAATTGAAGAAACATCCGTAAGATATCTATTAGAACGTAATTATTCAACATTATGCAACATACAAAATGGTGACTTTCTCTTAAAAAAATAAAAACACATGCATATATTATGTATAATTATACGTTTAAGAAGTATACTTATCTTTATTTATTACTTAACATTACCACGCAATATTTTATTATACCGAAAGACTGTTCTAGATAATAATATTAGAAAAAAAATTTATATTATATATAAATTGAGGATTATAAAAAGAAAAAGTGATAAATAAAGAATTAAATTTAACGAGAAACTGGACAGATCGGCTACGTAAAAAGTTAATAAATGTAACACACTTTGAGATTCATCAATTTTGCGACGTTGCGCAAAACATTATTAGCCTTTTAAAATATAAAATTAATGATTAATTTATATAAGTTAAAATAACGGTTTGCCTTGTAGAATTAAAATTTTTATTTTCATGAATTTTTGTGTACAGTCACTATAAAATTTTCATGATACAGTCGCTATAAAAAAGTTACTTTAATATAAAATAATATACATTTATGCGATTTTCTTAAATTATCTTTTACAGGGCAAATCTTTACTTAATCTTTACAAATATAAATTAATTATTTTGTACTTTAAAAGTCTAAAAGTGCTTCGCACAATAAAAGTCAATATCAAAATGAATTAGGTTTCTTAACTCTTGACGTGGCCGACCCGTCGAGTTCCTTCTTAAGTTATTTAACGCGTAAAATATAAAAGTTTTCGAAATTTTTCTTAACAAGCAATTCGAATCTGTACTTTTATGACTTGGTACACACGAGGATTAAAAAGCGGGGACGACGCGCGAATATCTCGACATCGACTCGATTTCGAGAATATAAGCGGTCCCGAGGGTTACCCTTTTGATCTAGCCGGGCTGCTTCCGTGTATTCCGGGGATGCTGCGCGCGCGCACCGAGGGTTGCGCTCCGCGGTCTCATCTCGCAGTTTCGCAGCCTCCCTTTCGCGACCCGTATCAGGTCTACCACGGCTCAACCAAGGAGATTGCGTGCCAGTAATTTCCCGCAATTTCATCGTCCCCGGCTGTCCGGGACGAGATACTCGGCGTCCGATCGTTATTGCGGAGAATCACGGACCCGGTTTCGGATCCGGTCGCGTCCCTCGTCCGGGTCATCCTCGGATTCGGATGCATCTCTCTGCGTCGGAAAATGGAAACCGTAATCGGTACGTATTGCCGCATCACGAATCTTCGTCCCGGATCACAAATGCCTTATTGATTGATCCCTTATACCGACAATCGAATGTACGAGATTCGATTATCATTAGATCCAATTGTCTCCAGATGCGTTTCTCGTGCTTGCACGTCGCTCTTAAAGGTCACCGGATAATACGCGAAAAGATGGAATCGTGCGGTGCGTATCGTTCGATAAAAGTTCAAAGGCTCTAAGGTCAGGAATGATATTAGCGAATAAGGCTGAAAAGTTTTTCGGTTACGATGCCCGTACAGGAAATCTTTTTGCTTAACATAACTATTAAGCGACAATCGAATTCGTCTAAGGTCTAGGTAAAGGTTCATAGCGGTTAATCGATGTAAATATATTTTTGTTGCATTGCCATAAATTTGCATTCAACTTTGTTTTAATATATTTTAATGTTCGCGAGGTAAAAAAACGCGAAGGTGAAAACGCGAAGATTGTATTGATCGAGGAAAACGTTGAAAGAAATTTGTAAATACAAATTGAAATTCTGATTCGAAAACCAAGTTCTATTTTTATCTAGTTCCATATTAAGTTTAAAAGTTTTAAAAAATTATCATTTTATATGAAGGTAAAAAGATAGTTTATCAAGTACATATTTTTCTCCTCAAAAATCCAAAGCTAATGTTTATCGAAGAAAATGCACTTTCTCTTCTAAGAAATCCGGATAATCGGGATAATATTTATCCAAGCGAATGCACTTTAAATATCTTTTACTTTAACGTTATATAGTAGGTTGCAAATAAGACAAAGTTTTTTCCATAGATGCATCCTATTCTTTCGGCAATCAAAGTTATGCATATATATAATTCGAAATTTTTAGTATGTTTAGACTATTATCAACGTAAATTAATAATTTTTGTACCGCAATTACATATATTATACGTATTACAATGTTATCTCTGTTTGTTAGATAATAATTTATCTAATTATATATAATAATTTATTTATTAATGTTTTATATAATTCGTGTCTATTCTATATTATTAAATTTGATTAAGTGATTTTTTAAAAGATTAAAACAGTTTAAAAAGTCGAACAAAAATTTAATGTCGATTTTTCAAAGCAATGATTTATTTATAAAATATAGGATTCTCTCGAGATATATGTATAGTATGGAATTTTAAATCTTGAAATTGGCGATGGACGATTTAACATTTTAAAACAATAAAACAATATAGTTTTCCACAATATTTTATTAAAATTATATTACATATATTTATACATTAAAAAAAAATAAAAATAAAAATTGTAGCATCTCCCTGAAATGTGCATAAAATAATATATACATAGATAACAAATGAAAAATGTGAGCGTAAACTTAAATTTTTACTTGCTTTCCTAGAGTCTCGTTTCAATTGATCGAGATGATTCGGGATGTGACACGAGAAAAACAATTGATATCTCAAAAGTCGTCGTAAAAATTTTAATAACGTAGTCGTTGTCACTTTCTTATTGGGTGCATTATCATCATTCGGGAGTTAAGACAAGGGGACCGAAAAGAGAGCTGCCATGACGTGTTGAACGACTTCGCCCAAACTGCGGTCCTGGACCTTGCAGCCTCCTTCTCCTCCTCCTCCCCTCTCTCATTCCCCTTTTCATCGGACATTGCACCGATGCAGACGAGGCGTATGAGAAACGGCCGTCTCGCCAGAAGACGGGATCACTCGCGAGAAGAGAAGGCGACTTATGACGATCCAGACGACGCGCCTGCACCGCCTTATTCTCCCATCTCTAGGACACAATCTTCCTCTTCGCGAAACGACCAGCCCCGGAAAACTTACGTAACGATTGCGGGACGGCATCTTGCACGATTACAGGGACGCAATTTATCAAAATTTTCAAGCAAGACGCGGAACCAACCAGTCCATCGACGAGATACGAGAAATCTATCAGGACTCTGATCGTTCGGAAAGCTATTTAATTTAGCAACTTAGTATGGGTATTTGATATAGAGTTGCACGAGATACCGAGATTAATCTTGATATTTGTCTTGTCTCGAGATTCGAGACAAGATCAAGCCAAGACTTTTAATTAGTTGTCAAGACAATATCAAGATTGCAAAGAGATTACTGGTCTTATCAAAATTATTGGTTTTTAGGAATAGGTATATTTGTAAATTAGATAAATTAGAGCAAAAAATCTATTAATATATGATTTATTAAATAAAACATTTATATTAACAAATTAAACACAAAATAAACAACATAAAATTAATTGCAAAATTTTACAGACATGTATGTTGTTTTATAAATACGTGTGTGTCACGTCTACATGTATATATATATATATATATATATATAATATTTTTAGAAGTAAACATAAATAGTAAAAATTATCTTAAATTATATTAAATATTATTTTAAACTGCTTAGTTAAAAATTATTAATAAAATCGAGACAAGACAATACGAGATTTCTGCTGCAAAAATTCACTCAAGACCAAGACAAGATTCGAGAAATTTCGAAAAATTCAATACCATTACAATATTTTTACAAATATCGCACTGTCTCGAGTCTCGTGCAATTCCACTTGACATGTAGATAATTGAATTTTTTTATTTCATCGCCGCAGAGTTCTGAATAGAGATAACACCCGAAGTGTTACAAACCATGCGGAGAGTAAGCGCGCTTAACGCTAGATTGAACTTTATCCCCGTGCATACCTTGTCCTCGTTGCATAGAATGACGCTACACAGGATGCACTTTACAGTGAGACGCGGCTCCGTCAAATAGGCCACGACGTGTATACATATATCGCGCATGCACGACGACATTATGCGCGCCACACGGCGTATCGGGTACACATTGAATATATCGCTATCGCGATGGTCGACGATGACTTTGCGCGCGTAAGATCGTCGCCTGGGATTTTGCAGCGCGTGTCGCTTCTGCGTATGCATCGACCAGCCTTACATCGTCAAGTATATACGTACGGAAGATGCTTCGAAATCTCAAAGCGCGATTATATACCCAAGGTATTTCGAAACTTCTCGCTGTTTGCCTTCGTTATCCCTATTCAACTTGTCAGGAAACGAAAGCCTAGTAGGAGATTATTATGTGAAGCTTCATCGCACAATGTTTGATAATTTCGTAAAGTTGTATCTCGAGTAAAAATTCTGCCAAGATTGCTGGCTTACTCGAAAGATTCTGTTACTTAAATTCTTGAAATTCTTGTGTGATCTAATTATACTCTTAAATTAATTAATTTACTCACTGATTATGTATGAGATGAACGGGATGAATACCTCAGAAACAGAATAAAATACAACACATATTTCGTCCCGAATTAAAAAAAAGAATGTATTTAAAATCCACTATAAAAATATTTATATCTTTATTACACATCTCTTCTCGAAAATAAGTATAATTATTCAATCCGTTTGCGCAAGTCAAAAAACCAAAATATTACACGCCTTTCAAATTAATTGTAATGTGATTTCACAATTAATTGTAATGTGACTCGAAAAGAATAATCTCTCTTGACCAATTTTTTGAATTAATTTAAAACAAAATATTGTTGCAGCGACACATCAAGATCTGCTAGAAGAAGAAAAATGAACTTTTAATACGTGAATAACATTTATGATGATTGTGCGAACATCGAGAAGACAAAAGATGAGGAAAAGAGAGCCAAGTAAATAACAGATGAAGATTTAAATTTTTTCCATTTGCTTAAACGTATATATACTGATGGGAAATAAAATCGCGAGAATGGCATTTTCGACAATGTAGGGAAAGGATTGCGACAAGATTTATCGTCATGCACTTATAATACGATATTTGATGATATCGTTGCTACTTGAAGCGAAATAGAACGAAGCAGCGATATACTGTCGTGAAAGCTTGTCACAGATAAAATGACCTGAGCAATTGTATGTACATATATGTATAACAATGTAAAATGTATACATATATATATATGTTTACAATATACAACATAATCCATCAACAAGCAATTTCCAAAGCATCTCTCACGATACTTTCATTATCTTCGAAACGAGGCAAAGGAAAATGAATCTCGAAAATCAAACTCGATAAATTAAGTTGAGTGAAAAACATTAGAATTATACATAATGATGTAAAGGAAAGGAAGAGGAAGAAAGAAGAGGCATAATGATCGTGGAACCAAGTATACAAGATACATAAATCGGCCGATTAGTTCATCAGCTCACATCTTCTCCGATCGATACGGAATTCGCTTAACCGGCAAATTTCCCGGTGATGTATCGTCAAGCACGAGTGAAATGGCAGAAACGATGGCACACAATCGTACAACGTACGCCAAGAGGACAGCTAGGAAGCTGAATCTCACGTCGATGACGTTCCTTCCTTCCACTGTGGTCGCGGCCGCGATTAACGCCGAGACGACGATACATCCGACTAATCCGTCCACGGTAGCGACCGGCGATCCTGCAGCCACCGTCGCTACCGTCAAATCGCATCATCATGTCCACAACGTGACGGAATACCTGGTCGAGCATGATGAGCTGGAGCATGGTAAGTAGTACATTATTATGGAAGAAGGTATATGAATGTTTAATGAAGAGCGGCGGTTTTACGTGGACTTTTAATTAGTTATGCATTTGAAAGGTTGAAATCGAGCCAACCAACTGGGGAAAAAGTTATATATGTCTTATAAATTCAGTAATTAATCAGAAAAAAACTAGGATATATATATTTCTTGAATTCAGTAATTAATCTTCTTGTGACGGGAATTTAGCAATACAGGGAAATACTTAATCCTTCGAAAAATGTTATACATCCAAAAAATGTTTCGCTGATATAAATAGATTTGTAGATGTAACGAGAAAACTTTATCGCTATTTTTTATATCTGTTAGAACGTTATTCGTAGAATTGCAGAAAATTTATAGCAGCAAATAATACCTTCTGACTTTAGATCCCAAATATTAATCACTGCATAAATATTTCAATACTACAGCTAGATTGATCTTTAAACTGAAAAACAACGTGTATCACAGTCAAACTTTACAAGTACGTTAGTTTTAACATGGAGTGCCACAGAGAGACTTTTTTTATAAATATCACCAACAATTCATATATAAATTTTGTCTCTGTTATTTCGATCGATTAAGTGCAAAACATATCGCAGATATTTGATAATACATCATTTATCTAGTTTAGTTAATTTTTCATGTCCAGAAAATTATTACTATAGTTGCAAGATCATTCTTTTGAATGTATGTGACAGAAAGTGATATGATATATATTTCATATATATCTCATATATCTCATATATCTCATATATATCTCTCTCACTATATTTTATATTTTAGAGGATTTATTAATTTCTTTTCACTTTTAATTTTGTTGTTCAGATATTCACGTTTAATTGATCGTTAATGAAATTATTAATTTTGAAATTATTGATAATGAAATTGTTAATTTTGAAATTATTATAACAAAAAAACTAAAATTATTATAACAAAAAAAAATTAAAAGTCAAAAGAAACTAATAATTATGAAATTATTAATTTCTTTTCACTTTTAATTTTTTTGTTCAGATACACGTTTAATCGATCGTTTAATGAAATAAATACCGTTAATGAAATTTCTCGGGTAAAAGAATTATTTCTCATTCCATTAGAGAGAGAGAGGATCAAAACGTTATTGTTTGAACTTCCTATTATTATAAATTCGCAGCTATATTTCCGCGTTGATGTTTTTCTGTTAAAATATTACACAAGACAAACAATTCAACAAGACAATCGTGAAAATTTCATCATGGCCATCGCCAACGTTTCGCCAGCTAGTAAAGCAATTCAAATTATTATCCTGTTTTCGCCTCAAGAATTTCATAATCATTATATTTCAGGTATCCTCGCCAACTTTTCGGACATACAGACCGTTTTATTCGCATGCATATCGACATTATTACCGCTGATTGTCGCTTTGGGAATTGCCTTCGGCGTCAGGTATGCTAACTTTGCTTATTGCGAAAGAGATCCGAAGCACTGGCCTAGTTATTTTTTAATTGCGCGTAGTCAGCTTAAATAAAAACTTTTTTTTTTCTAACACGCATGTTGCTTCGCAGGCACGTGTGGCAAAAGTATCGAAATGGCCGGGACAGCGGGAATGGATTACCTTGGTACAAGAGCGCGTGCAACCGCGATAGCGCAGTCGAATCCCAGCATCAGCATCCACATTCCGGGAATGTTCCCGTTCAAACTGCCACGAGGGTTCTCTCCGCGCAGGATGTAAGTTGACGACTTTTTCACAATCTTCTGTATCTCCACCGATGAGAGATGTTGCATGGATAAAAACATTCTCGCGATCGCCCAAATCATCGAGCGATCTTTCTAGATAATGCAAGAGATGGGATGAAATGAATGAAAAGTCGTGCGTTGAAATGCAATTTTAATGTTTTTTTTTTAATTTAGACTTGATTTTGTCCATGAAAATTCCAAGGCATCGCAACTTTAAAAAAAATGGAAAAATTTTCCGCGTGAATTTTTAATAAGATCAATCTTCTCACGAAGAAGATCTCAAGAAGATCGATAAGATCTCAAGCAATCTAACGCGAGAGGAAACTCGTCAGACGGAGGGGAAGATACGGCTGGCTCGATGAGAGCTGGCGCGTTGTGAACTTTAATGCAATCGATACATACATATATATGGGCTTGTTTGATCCTCGTATGCATGCTCGATTAGCTTACATAATACGGTAACCACGCAAATACCATCGACCTTGGTTTAAATCTTGAAGCTGTGCCGTAATAGGATACACGACGGACATTTACGGAACTCGGCCCAGATTATGTGAAGAATTAGGGTTGCACGAGATACCGAGATTAAACTTGATATTGAAAGTCTCAAAATTCGGGACAAGATTAAGATGAGATTTTTAATTAGTTGCCAAGACAATACCAAGACTAAGATTGTCATTTATCTTGTCAAAATGATTGATTAAAAAAAAGACTAAAATATGTATATTTGTAAATTGGATAAGAAAAAGATCACACTGTATTATATACGAACTTGAAGAATTTTATTTCATAAATAAAAACATTTATATCAACAAATTCAGAAACAATTAATATAAAATAAATAATGTGAAATTTTACACAATTATTTAATTACATAAAATTTTGCGTACACACGGTTCTCTAATTGTGAGAAATGTATCTGTCATTATTATATATGCAACTGTCTTTTCGTAAAATTACTCGAAATTTAACATACATACATATATATAATATATATTATGTTATTTTGGAAAGTAAACAAATGATATAAATAATAATAATTATTTTAAACAATTGTTCAGTATTAGAAAAAAATTGTTAATAAAAGCGAGACGAGATCTCTGCTATAAAAATCCACTCAAGAGATTCAAGTTTTCATAAATTTTCAATATCAATATAATTTTTTTACATGCTGCCCTATCTTGTGCAATTCTAATTGTAAGAAGTAACGCAAAGAATTTGTTCTAACGTAACTTTCCCTCGCGCTGTTGATGAATTTTTACGGTTCCTCGCGCGAATCGAAATGCAACTTCTCCCGGGAAGAATTCGCAAGATCGAGCATGCAAAACGGACCCGCGCCGAAATCTATGGCTACAGACGTACCGTTATAACGCTTTGCATTTAATAGCGATACATCGCCGTGTGTGTTGCGCTCATTCGTCTCGCTTAACCCTTTTCGCCGGTAGACTCCTTCCGGCTAAGATCTCCGGCTGAAATACCGTAACGCGCAAGCTCATTTAAAATTCATACCTCTCGCATAATTAACTCACATTCGAAAATAAGTTGAACCGAAAAAAATGTTATTCTCGAATCAAATTAATGTTAAAAAAAAAACAGAAAATCGACGATAGTCGAAGACTGTATATTTTCTTTCATAATATAACTTCGAAAATTTCAGCATAAATTCCTCCGAATCTATTTCGTCCGTAATTGCAATCTTTGCACTTACGCGAGGGAATTGCAACAATGGCTCGCATTTACGCTTCGTGCACGTGGTCAATAAATAATTCGCGTTTATCGAGCTTATGGTTAGATCCAGTACATTAACTTTGCCCACCAATTGACGTCGCGGTATTATATCGTTCCAGCTACAACATATTGTGCCCGGCGTGCAACACGCTTGTGCGTGTAGGCGAACACGCGTTGCAAACGCATATTATACATACGTACGCACACATTATTATTATTTACGTATGCGCGTATATGACTCAGCCAAAAATACCGTACGTCTGCTTGGCGCGCGGACGGGTGGGATTGACCTGATTTTAATTTTGCGCATACGCGATCGCGATAACAGTCGCTTTAGCCGAATTTGTCGCGCGATGCATAATTATCGCCAATTGTTTTCGGTCTATTCCAACATTGTTTCGTCGTGCAAATGCAAATGTCAGCGCGCCGAGGTCAAGAAAGGAGTGCATTCCATTACAGCCGCTATAGCGCGCTGTTAACTTCAACGGGATCGGCGATGTTTAAATCGGCAATATCGTATATATCTATTGTATTGAGCACTGTATTATTGACAAACGCGAAATTTTTTAAACGATGTTAAAATTTCCCTCTCAAAAAAATAAAGACTTACGTACATTTCATGCAAGAAATATCGCTAATCACATCGATTTTATCGTTTACTATATAAACTCTGATAAATATGAAATATATAAAAATTATTTTTTAATTATTATTATTTTAACGATAATAGATTTTGATAAGTTAGTTAGGGTACTACTCAATTAATAATTTGTAATTGGAAAAGCATAATTTTTTTAACAATATTTAAAATTAATCACTGTAAAGTGTAAGACTGAAGTGAAATCAAATAACATCTCTCTCCAAAAATCTTTGAAAAATCGCTCGAATTGAGCGGAGAAATATTTTTTTCATAACGCAAGTTTAACACACGCGACGTTACATCATGTTAATTTAAGCTTGATCAAGGAAACTTCTCGTCGATTAATGAAATAATATTATAAAAGCGTTTTTCTTGGTCCGTCTTTCGAGCGGAGTCTGCGGAGCAAAAGGGCATAAACGCAGACATTGGTGAAAGTTGCATACGATGTTTGACTTTTGCAATTAAACCGGACCAGCTTTCCATGCGTGGCACAATCTGTTTTCTTTTTTCTTCTTCTCTCTTCAAGCGACGGTTTCATTAGTATCGCAGGTTGTGCCCGCCTCTCTAATTTCGCCGCTCGTCGCTTCTTTCGCTTACTTTCTAATAAAATCGCGGTCAATCATTTTCAGCTTTCGGATGCATCAGCGCGCGATCGTCCGTTTGAGCGATGCGTAAAATATACCTCGTAGCAGCGTTTCTCCTCTTTTACACAAATGCATAATTATTGCAACATTTCGAGTATTTTGCACAATTATCGCGATTAAATATTAACATATATGTACATACATATGATACATATGACGCATTTGAAATTATAATTAAATTGAACAAATTAAATGCAAATTAATGTATTATTTCACATTAAATTAAAGCGTCAAAAAATTATAATATAAAATTTCCTCTCTCTTATGAGCGTGAAATAAAATATTTACGACTAACTATAAATACGTCGCGTCATCTTAAATAAATAATCTTTGATGAATATATGCAGAAGTAGAATCAGGATAAAACGCCGATGCTCGTAACTCTGGTAGAGTCTTCATCGTCGAATAAAAAATTTATCCCGCGAATCAAGATTGAAACGTACTCGGAATCCGAGTAAAATGGACCAGCGGAACTTTCATTGATCACACGTGTCCCTACAGAATTAAATGCACTCGAGAAGCGGCCAGAAGCGAATGAACGATTCAGATTAATTGAGGATGAGCAGTTTTTTCATCGAAGGCAGAAGAAATTTCGTCCATGAATTTCGTCCATGTTTTTAGACGCGATGCGGCGATGCATTCCTCCAATTATTCGCATTCATTGGTTATTTTTAAAAAATTCTGCATCTTATTCTAAATTTTTTATCTCTCTTACTTCGATTAAAATGAGGGAGGGAAAGAAGATTTTTGGTAATTTTAGAAACGAACTTATATTCACTTATGAATATCTCGATTTCCTGAGGCTGCTCAGATGCTGCAGATTTTACTGATGAACCAAAATCAAACTCGGCAAAAAGATGCACAAACACACAACATTTATATTTATATTAGATACATATATAGATATATATAGTGTCACTTATGGGCGATATATCCTCATTTTGATGTGGTTCACGTACGACACTATTTTACATGTTCGGCATCACTAAGATTCAGCACCATTAAGAACTTATTGCATCATCGACACGCACAAAATTATACAACACCAGCCACATTTTTATTCTCATACAAATGTGCAACGAAAAAAATGCAATTTTAATAACTGCAAAAAAGTGCTTTTCAAATATAAAATAGATATAAAAAATCAAATGTTTCCATCTCAATACGCAAAAGAGATTGTGCAATTAACTGTGTAATATGAATTGTATTTGAGATGATTTTCCTATGAAACAAGCCAAGAGCAATAAATGCAACAAGGAAGGAGGAACTTTTGACACAAAGAAAACAAAAATGTTTAAAAAATTATTTTCTTTCATATTACGTGCAAAAATGCCATTCTATTATTTCAAATCGACTCTAAATATTAAATTCTGGTCGGAATAATATTCCCGACAAGGACTCCGAGGAAGTAGAGTGCACTTCTCACTTGTCGTCTAACTTGGCGAGAGAACCTTTGGTAGTTTCGCGTTCCTATTTTTCGCAAGTCGCACTACATTTTCCGACAATAGTAAACCGGCAGCGGCTCCCTTGTCTATGCCTTGTCGCTAGTAGTTGCTCGCGTAGTACTCGGTAGTGGGGGGTACCGCGCGCCTTCTTAAAGCCTTGCGCTTTTTTCAAAAGCACCGCGCTACCCCCACCGCCGCTGCACTCTAGCCCCCACTAGTCCTCCTGCTCTAACGCTTATGCGTATCCGCGAGGATACTTGCATCGCGTCCTCGCACCACCTATAAATCGCGCCTCCCCCTTCTCCCCCTCGCTCTGCATCATATCGCCTCGTCCCGCTCGCTCTTTCTCTCGCTCTCTCTGTCTCTCTCCAGCCGTTGCACCTCTCTTCTGGCTCTCCTCAAACACACACACACACACACACACACACACACACACACACACACACACACACACACACACACACACACACACACACACACACACACACACACACACATACGCATGCACTTGCTTCCGCACGCCTCTCGCCTATG